TTACACTAGTGGATACCACAAAAACTTATTTTATACTTAATAGAAATATAATATTAACTCTAAGTGTTTGTTTAATCTACTGTTTTGACGCAATATGCATTCTACAAAACTTTTTTCAATGATCCAACCGTCAAACTTATTTGTACACATTCCGAGATCGCATACGTAAAAAATCATAAAAAACAAACATTCAGAGATTACGTAACGTAACAAAAGTTGTTGACGGTTATAAACGAAAAATCATAATTTAACGGTTATTTGAGCTCCAATTTTGATGATTTTTTACATATACACTCCTCGACCCTATAAGAATGTAATGAATAAATTTGATCTTTAATTTAAAGTATTTACACTATGGATACCACAAAACTTATTTTATACTTAATAGAAGTATAATATTAACTCTAAGTGTTTGTTTAATCTACCGTTTTGATGCAATATGGATTCTACGAAACTTTTTTTAATGATCCAACCGTCAAACTTTTTGTACACATTTCGAGATCACATACGTAAAAAATCGTAAAAAACAAACATTCAGAGATTACGTAATGGCACAAAAGTTTTTGACGGTTATAAACGAAAAATCACAATTTAACGGTTATTTTATCTCCGATTTTGATGATTTTTTACAGATAGACTCCTCGACCTATAAGAATGTAATGAATAAATTTGATCTTTAATTTAAAGTATTTACACTAGTGGATACCACAAAAACTTATTTTATACTTAATAGATTAATTAACTCTTAAGTGTTTGTTTAATCTACTGTTTTGACGCAATATGCATTCTACAAAACTTTTTTCAACGATCCAACCGTCAAACTTATTTTTACACATTCTGAGATCGCATACGTAAAAAATCATAAAAAACAAACATTCAGAGATTACGTAACGGAACAAAAGTTTTCGACGATTATAAACGAAAAATCAAAATTTAACGATTATTTGAGCTCCGATTTTGATGATTTTTTTACAGATACACTCCTTGACCCTATAAGAATGTAATGAATAAATTTGATCTTTAATTTAAAGTATTTACACTAGTGTTTTTTTATACTTAATTGAAGTATAATATTAACTTTAAGTGTTTGTTTAATCTACTATTTTGACTCAATATGCATTCTACGAAACTTTTTTCAACGATCCAACTCTCAAACTTATTTGTACACATTTCGAGATTGCACACGTAAAAAATCGTAAAAAACAAACATTCAGAGATTATGTAACGGAACAAAAGTTTTCGACGGTTATAAACGAAAAATCACAATTTAACGGTTATTTTAACTCCGATTTTGATGATTTTTTTACAGATACACTCCTCGACCATATAAGAATGTAATGAATACATTTGATCTTTAATTTAAAGTATTTACACTAGTGGATACCACAAAAACTTATTTTATACTTAATAGAAGTATAAAATTAACTCTAAGTGTTTGTTTAATCTACTGTTTTGACGCAATATGCATTCTACAAAACTTTTTTCAACGATCCAACCGTCAAACTTATTTGTAGACATTCCGAGATCGCATACGTAAAAAATCATAAAAAACAAACATTCAGAGATTACGTAACGGAACAAAAGATTTTGACGGTTATAAACGAAAAATCACAATTTAACGGTTATTTAAGCTCCGATTTTGATGATTTTTTACAAATACACTCCTCGACCCTATAAGAATGTAATGAATAAATTGATCTTTAATTTAAAGTATTTACACTAGTGGATACCACAAAAACTTATTTTATACTTAATAGAAGTATAATATTAACCCTAAGTGTTTGTTTAATATACCGTTTTGATGCAATATGCATTCTACGAAACTTTTTTCAACGATCAAACCGTCAAACTTATTTGTACACATTCCGAGATTGCAAACGTAAAAAATTGTAAAAAACAAACATTCAGAGATTACGTAACGGAACAAAAGTTGTTGACGGTTATAAACGAAAAATCACAATTTAACGGTTATTTTAGCTTCGATTTTGATGATTTTGTACATATACACTCCTCGACCTTATAAGAATGTAATGAATAAATTTGATCTTTAATTTAAAGCATTTACATTTTTTTTATATATGAGTGATTGTATATATATATTTTTACATTTTTTACACTTCTACAATAATTATTATTAATTTTATTAATTTTTCCCTCAAATAAAAAACATTATTCATGAGGGTTTGAAGGATTTTAAAAATCTAAACGATAATATAAGTGTAACAATGATCTATTCGTGGAGGAATGATGATAAATCACGAGTGTTTATATATTCTTTCACATTTTTCATACTTGTATGTATGTCTTCTTAGTTCTTGCATATACAAATACTATACTAGTATATTTTAATTTTGGACAAGAATATGGTATGTAAAATTTATCTTAGTAATGATAATAAGGAACTCTCATAATAAAAATAAATAATGACTAAAACTTTTTTTTAAATTTTTTTATAATTTATATAGAACAATAATACAAAACTATATATTTAATATAGAATATATTGTATATATTAATATGACTATTGTATTTTATAATAAATCTTTTAGTAATTAAACTTTAAAATTATTAAAATAATTTTTTTCTTAACGGGTCGAAACTGGTTACCCACGTGTTACTCGCATGTATACCTGTTAAGAACCCGTTATTAATGGGTTCTTAACGGGTCACCCGATAATGACCTAATAAGTTATCGTGTTGACCCGAAACCCGTTATTTTCATGTTATTTTCGTATCGTGTCACTGTGTCGTGTCAAAAACTGCCAGGTCTAGGCACAATTATTTGTTTTTTATTATTTGTCATATACTTGTGGCCCCAGACCCCATTTTCTCTCTCTCCCCTAAACCCACCCACACCGCACCCCTTCCTTCCCGTTCTCTCATCTCTCTCTCTGCCTCCCTTAGACTCTCTCTCTCTCTCCAACCTCCTTTCTCTCACTACCTTCCCCAGATCAAATCGTGGAGGCTCTTGAGTTCCATCGTTGCCAGAAAACCTTGGTAGGAACCCTCCGCACACGATCTCCACAAGAAAGGATCTCGGAGCGGCGGGGTGTTGGGATCGGTGGAGAGTTTGGAATCATAATCGGAATCGGAGGAGGTAATCGCAGTTTTGGTAACTGCAGGGTCATTGAGGGGCATTTTCTAGGGTTGGAGTGGGAGGCATTCGAACTCATCTTCATCCCAATACACGAAGCTGGTGAAGGAAGGTTTGGGAAGATGGATACATGGTGAGTCCGAATCGGGAATCGGGAATCAGGTTGGGAATCGGGTCTGGTAGGGAGAGATCAGAAGGTGAGTCGGGTTGGGAGGCGGTGGTGAGGAAAAGGCGGGTGCGAGTTGAAAGAGGGAGTGAGGAGTAGTCGTCGTTGTCCTCATTTATTTCGTCCCGTAGCCTTCGAATTGGGAGTCGGCGACTTGGAATGAGGAGGGAGAGAATGAGAGGTAAGAGAAGAGGAAGAGGATGATTAGTGCTTTCATCTTTATCTCCTTTCATTTTTAAAGTACAATTGTATACTTGTAAACATGTGTTGGTTGTTCAGGTGCCATGGATATACAATATTATTTCTTTTAGTAATCGCGTGTTTTTAAGAGAAGCTGTTTTCTCGTAGGATTTGATGTTATTTTGAATTGTTTTGATTAGTTCTGAAAGCTTTTAAATATCTATGGAGTTGTAGATCAGATATCCCTTCATTGTGGAGTTCTGCGGTCAAGGTCCTACATGGTGTATACAACTAGACAATCTGTAATCAAGTTTAATTTTCCATGGGTGCAAAATTTCTTTGTAAAAGCAGACTTTAGTGTAATTTAATTGGCCAATTTAATCTCTCTTTCTATTCTTTTTCAGCTTTGAAAAGTAAATGATGAACAAAAGACTGGAATTCGGAAAACTGAACATGATCTTCAAGTTGCAGAGGTTTGTTGTCCGTTTATTTGCTACCTGAAACTATCAATTGCTATATGGTATTAATTTTTTTGATATCTCAGAAAGAAATGGTGAAGGAGAAGTTTGGGATTTCTTCGATATTTGAAGATTTGACTAAGGTAAGGAAATGGTAATGCTATAATTTTCTAATGCCTGCTGTTGTTGGTAACGTTGTTGTTATCACTTTAGGTTTAATTCTTGTGTCTTTACCTCGTTTAGTGAGACTAGTCAATTAGTAAATTTATCAATTGCCTAAAGGTGGATTCTGTTATGGCCCCATCTCTTATTAATCATATGCAAACTTTTAAGCTTGAATAACAGTGAAGCGTATCATGTTCTTGTTACCATTTACAAGTACTTTAAAATTAAGTTCACCATACTGCCAATAGTTAAATCCTGCTATGACCCATGATCAGGTCCATGGAGGATGGCTTCCACATACATTTGGAGTTCATGTAGATTATTTTCAGGTAAATCCACGCAGATTAGTTGGATAACAATGTCAGTCTAATTTCATGACACAATATTTATGTGCAGACGTACATTGTGACTTACTGGAATGAGCTTGGAAGACCAGCCTTCAATCTGGGAATTGAAAAGGTGTGTCTGATATTCCAAACTTTATTCGTTAAACTTCTCCAATAAAGATGTTCACTTGCCAGGTGAATAAACTGGAATAGCCAAGTATTCATTTATTTGTTTGTCCTCAGGCCTTAAAAATGAAAGCTCATGGTAAGGGTTGGGCTGGGATCATCGTTGAAAGAATCAGAACAATATGTTATCCCCAACTCTTCTTCATATAATACAAAATACAAAGTGAGACACAAGTTGCGTTTTATGGGATTAAGTGGCAAAATTTGAGTTTCAAAACTCGAGTTCTGAAGAGGAACATAAAGCAGCAAGAGCCTATCTTACTAATAAATTCTGAAGTCATTAGACTCAGCTTTGGTGTTTGACATCTTCCTCTTTTCTGAACAATTAGTGTACATTCAACTTTTCTATTTGAGATATTGAACCAAGTTGGCAACCTTTCTAATTCTTCCTCTTTTAATTTGAAGAACTGGATCCCAAGGTTGAAGAAACAGTCTTTGGAATTCAAAGCCTATCTTGAACCAAACATTTGATTAGTCACTACAAAAACTGTTGATGTATATCGTTCATCAAAGAGTTCTATATGACCACTTGTTTTCAAGGCACAAAATATGGCAGATCCTTACATTCAGGTGAGCCCCTCAAGCGAACTTTTTAAATATATGGATTTGGTGGATGGAATTCTTTCTTATGGCATTTCTGTGTTATTGCAGGAAGCTAAGAAATATACCGAGCCATACATTGATCGGGTTGCAATGGTGACAAAAACACATTTAGATAAATTACAAGAAAGAAAATGCCAATGCAGTTCTCCTTGTTGCAAGCCAGGTGAGACATGTGTACATCTATCCTCTCAAAACCTTGCACATTTCTTTTTCTTTCTGAAGTTTACTTTCTCTGACCACTATGAAATATGTTTGCCCTCCAACTCATGAACTTCCCATCCTTGGTGAAAATGTGACTTGGTTTGCGATCTCTTGTAGGCCAAAATGACATTATTTAGGATAATTATCAACTTTTGTTGTTGTAAGTACCAACTTTTGTCTTGCTTATCCACTTACTGATGTCCAGAATTTCAAGGTACGGTGATGTTCTTATAGTGGAAAAACTTATATTTCAATTGCATATTGTTGGAGGTTCTATTCTTATGTATTAAAATTATCTTGTTTTACATTACTATAATCATTAAATTATTGAGTTTACTAATGTTGTTGTGTAGGAGGATAGGGAAAAACTATTTGAAGGAATACTTAAACAGAAATGGAAGATCTTCTCTTGATGATCATCTTCATTAATTCATTTATGGAGCAGCAGAGATTTGATGAGGTGCAAGGCTTGCTGGGGAAGATGCATCTGTCCAAAAATGTCTGCTTTCAAGTTCTTTTTGCATTAGAGATTGTTGATGCACAAAATCAGCGAAGACTTTGGTACAACAGAAAGTGTCAGGTTTTATGACCTTCGCTTGGTTGCTTCGGTCACTAGTGAGGATAAGTACGTAAATGAATAGAGACAGAGAAGCAAACACAGGATGTACGTGGTTCACCCAGATTGGCTACGTCCACGGAGTAGAGGAGTTCTTATTAGTAGTGAAGGGCTTACACAAGTACAAAGGATCAAGCTCTCAATTTAGTGAGTTCTTGTGAATGATTTAACACAAATGGCATTCGACAATATTGTGGGGGAATGACCCCTATTTATAGAAAAACTTGTAGCTTTGTCACATTGACATGTGTCATGTTATGATTGGTTCTTGATGTTGACACGTGCTGCACTCTGATTGGCTTCTAATCTTAACACGTGTCAGTAGTGATTGGCCTCCTGGTCGGAGGGGAACTCTTCTGGGTCCTTGACAGTATAGCGTTGGCCGGTGCTCGGTAGTTTCGGGATTGGTCAAGTATGGTACAAACAGTGCTCCCCTAAGTTCCCGAGTGAGGGAAACTCCTCGGTTGGGGACTTGCAAGATCCAATCCCTTGAGTAATCACGAAACTTCTAAGTACCGAAGTGTGGTCTGATCTTCATCTGCCCTTCTCTGGAAGTACCTTTCCTTCATCCGGGAATGGTGTATTTAGCTGATGTTGACGCACAAGGTAATGTATCAATTTCACTTGAAGCTTAGTTGTAGTTTCGGGCTTAGTCAAGTGTGATACAAACCCTATAGTAGGAGTCCCCCAAGTCGCCGAGCTAGGAGATCTGCCGAAAGAGGTGACAGACAAGGTAAGCAGTCAAACTTCCAAGTAAGCAACCCAGGATCAGAGGTTTGACTTCGGCTTCCGGTTGATTGTTCTCATTCTCCTTGTCTCTCATTCAACTGCCAGGATAAGGAGAAGCAAATGGATAAGAGATGATATGAGATACTTTTGCTTTTGAAGAAGTAACTTTCCACAGGCTTATTCTTGAACTGTGCTGGAGGGTTTTCTGGTGCCCTTCAGAGTATAAGGCCGACTCAAAAATTTGAGGGTCAAAACAAGTCCATCAAATCTAGAGTACGTTCGACCTTGATGATATGGGATACTTTTGCTGTTGACGGAATAATGAATGTGGTATGGAAATGTGTCGTGCTGTAGTGATCTGTTTCAGCTCACCGTTGAACCTTCTGCTTCAATCTTTTGCATGGCAGAAGTGGTGTGCAACCTTTGCATTTAAATGGTCCTTCAGAACATTCCTTCATAGTGACTCATCCACGCTTGGCAGCTTCAGTGTAAAGAGCCAATATCTGATCAACTGTCATGAGGTATTTGCCGGTGGAATTCGTGACCTTGACAGCAGTTGAGGATGAGTACTCGAGAGCAATGCTAAGTAAGCAACCAGGCAAAGGCTCCAGGCAGTCAGTTCCAAATTGGAGGTTTGATTTCAGGTTCCGACTGACTGCTCTCTTTCTCCTTGTCCTGCAGGTGTGGACAAGGACAAAGACAAAGACAGGGAGAAAGCATGATATGGGATACTCTTGCTTTCGACCCTGATGATATGAGATACTCTTGTTCTTGGTGTGGCTTATTTGCTGAGGTATTATCGGGGGGAAATAAAGCTGAGTATTTCGAGAGGTTATGTTGAGGGTGCCTTTTCGAATGCGAGAAAGGGTTGAGCATTTTTGCAGGTTTGCCTGTCCGTTGAGGAGGGAGGTCAATGTATATAGGGATTTCCCAATAACAAGTAGTAATGCTATTCCTTTACCCTTCTTGGTCACAGCAATGTAGTGGGAGCTGCCAGCTTCACGTGTTTTAATTTTGTCAGAGCACTTTGAAAAAGTGGTATGTGGTATCTGGAAAGCTGATATATTACGTGTGGAGATTACAGACAAGCTTTATCTAAGGAAATCTGGCTCTCGAAGTTCTGAGAGTTGTGCCTCTTCGGTTTTCGAACAAGCAATCCCGTCGAGGATCTGACTCTCGAGATTCGGAAAGCGGTGCTACTCCGGTTTTTGAGAAAGTAATTATGTTGGGAGTCTTTTCTCGAATGTGAGTAAAGGTTGGACGTTCTTGCCAACCTGTCCTGCCGCAAAACACGGAGGTCGACACACATAGGGACTTTCCAGTTGTCAAGCAGTGGTGCTGTTCCTTTACCCTTATGGGTAATAGTAGGGTAGCTGGAACTTCGAAATTCTCGTGCCTAAACTTTGTCAGAGATCTTTGACAAAGTTATATGTGGTACCCGAGGAGTTGATGGTGCATATGGAGAGCGATGATTGATCAGTAAGATTCACGTGCTTTCTACTTCACCAGAAATCTTCAACAGAGTGCCCGTAATTTCCGCAAAGCTGATTGTGCATGTGACAGGTGCTGACGAGGCTGAAAAAGCAGGTGCTTCTTCGATTTCTGAGATCGGCCCTCGTGGTCTCTGAGCAGCCCAGCTTTTGAGAAAGCAAACGCCTCTTCGATTTCTGAGATCGGCCCTCGTGGTCTCTGAGCAGTCCAGCTTTTGAGAAAGCAAACGCCTCTTCGATTTCTGAAGCTCCGTCGAGTGCAGATTTTTATAGAGGCTGGCATTAAGTTCCACAGCACACTTGAATCTCTACCAGTAGAAGCTCATTTCTTGCACTTCTAAGATCTTGATTTGTCTGACCTCTTCCCTCTTCAACACATTTGAAAATGTCTGGACCCTCCGACAGTCGTTTTGACTTGAACCTTGGAGAAGAGACAGCCACGCCTTCTCCAGACAACATATGGCGCCCATCCTTCATATCCCCTACTGGTCCTCTTACCGTTGGGGATTCTGTGATGAAGAATGATATGACCGCTGCAGTGGTGGCCAGGAACCTTCTCACTCCCAAAGATAACAGACTACTTTCCAAACGGTCTGATGAGTTGGCTGTTAAGGACTCTTTGGCTCTTAGTGTTCAGTGTGCAGATTCTGTGTCTAATATGGCCCAACGCCTATTTGCTAGAACCCGCCAAGTTGAATCATTGGCTGCTGAAGTGATGAGTCTCAAACAGGAGATTAGAGGGCTCAAGCATGAGAATAAGCAGTTGCACCGGCTCGCCCATGACTATGCTACAAACATGAAGAGGAAGCTTGACCAGATGAAGGAATCTGATGGTAAGGTTTTACTTGATCATCAGCGGTTTGTGGGTTTGTTCCAAAGGCATTTATTGCCTTCGTCCTCTGGGGCTGTACCTGGTAATGAAGCTTCAAATGATGAACCTCCAATGCCTCCTCCTTTTGGGGTTTTGTCAAGTACTGAGGCTCCGGATAACCACCCTCTGGTGCTTTCTCTTTCTGGGGCTCTACCGACTGCTGAGACTTCCCCTAAGCAACCTTTGTGAAGGCTCCCTTTTGTTTGTTTATTTTGACTCATGTATATGTACATATTTGTGGCTTATCGAAAATATTAATAAATAAGCTTTGCTTCATTTCAACATATTGTGTTAAATACACCAAAGCCTTCTTCATAAAGTTCTTTGAATTTTTGCTTTTGTTGAAACCTGTATTGTTGAAGCTTTGTGAGTGAAGCATGTAGTTTGAGGTAGTGTTCCCTTAATTTCCCGAGTGAGGAAAACTTCTCGGTTGGAGACTTGAAAAATCCAAGTCACTGAGTGGTTGTGAGACTGCCGAGTATCAAGGTGCAGTAGCATATGGTGGGAGTCCCCCAAGTCTTCAGGCGAAGAGAGTTGCCGAATGAGGTGTCTCGCGTGTTACTAATTTGTCAAAGTAACGAATTCTTGTTTCGATGTCACACATTCGTATATGCTTTATCTAAAAATATTTCCAACTTTTGTGTGTTTGATGTTGCATGCTATTGACTAGACAAGATCAAGTGCAATTAGTGGCTTTTCTCTCTTTTTCATCTTTTCTTTGGTGGAATTGCTTTTCGTTTCCACTAATCAGCCTGAGTGGATGCAAGATAACACCTTTCTCTATAGCTCAGATTGCAAAGTCGTCTTCATGAAAGTTTTTCCTTATCTTGTGAACTACAACATATCCAAATTTGAGATCCATCGGAGTAGTACAACTTCAGAAATTCAAGTATGATGAGTAACTGTTCATCAATGTTCTGTTAATCCGTCAGACTTGTTGTGAGCTTCGAAACTCCATTTTCTCTTGTTCAGATCAACATACTTTCTTCATCGAAGTTGTTCCTTAACTTGTGAACTACAACATATCCAAATTTGAGGTCCCTCGGAGCAGTATAACTCCAGAAATCCAGGTATGATGAGTGACTGTTTATCATTTGTCTGTCAACCCGTCAGATTTGTTGTGAGCTTTGAAACTCTATTTTCTCTTGCTCCGATCAGCATGCTTTCTTCATTGAAGTTGTTCCTCAGCTTGTGAACTACAACATATCCAAATTTGAGATCCCTCGGAGCAGTATAACTCCAGAAATCCAGGTATGATGAATGACGGGTTATTATTTTTCTGTCAACCCGTCAGATTTGTTGTGAGCTTCGAAACTCCATTTTCTCTTGTTCAGATCGGTATGCTTTCTTCATTGAAGTTGTTCCTCATCGACTCTTTCATAACATATCAAAAATTCAGGATGAAATAACGGTTAAATATTTCCAGATCTTCGAAACATCACAACAGCTTCGAAATCTGCAAGAAGCCGACTATCATGTTTGGAGCTTCAACACTTTAATTTCCGTCGCTCAAACAGAAATGGTTCCTTCTTGAAAGTTGTTCATATGCTCAAGAACTATAGGGTGTCCAAAATTCAGCTCCATTGGAGAAGAGCAGAGGTTGCAGAAATTTGATAGATGAAAGGAGGCGGAAGAGGGAGAGAGAGAAAAAGTCTCTTGGGTTGGATTTCTATTTTGGGGCAGATTCCAATTTTTGTAGCACCTTCATTATTGATGAATTGCTTGTACTTTTGTCCATTATGAAA